CGGTCGAGCTATGGAATTGTACATGCAATTTGCATATTAGGCGGGGAATCCCCGGTTGAGGCAAGAATAACACACACATATACACAGGTCAAAGTTTATTTCATACGTTTTTCGGCTTTATTGATGATGTACTCCACATATACGTCATTCAAAACAACGCAATTTCTCAGAGGGTCGTTTACGATTATTCTCGTACTTCGCTGTGGGATTCAGACGCGCTATTACGAGTATTCTCGTACATCGCGTCTTAAGGGTTAAAACAATCAAAATACAAAAAAACTCACAGAAACAGGTGCTAATGTACTTCTTCTGCCCTCTTTCCGAAAACTGAATATCTGGAAATACTGACAGAACTCAGCAACACTTATATTACCTTCAGGAAGATGCTGCACAAGAGGGGAGAAAACAAACAGGTTATTAAACAGTATGCAGAACGTAAAACTAAGAATCAGAGAAAACTGACGACAGATTTTGATTTGACAACTCAAGTCCAATGCCTGTGCCTTACCATTTGATCTGTGCCATCACCATCAAACATGGATAATGCCCTTATATCAGACTTATTCAAACATGTCGTGTCTTGTGTAACCGATGTAGAATTAAGACTTCGTGATAACCCTGTAAAATATATGAATATTAATTGAGAAAGCATGTAATTTGATCATAAAAATGATATTTTCTCAGTTCCCCGTTAAACACTAGCAGTAAAATTTGAACACTTTAAAAATAAGCCGCCATATTTTGAAAAAAAATAATGATCAAAACCTGGGAACTTCAATCTATTTGATCCCAATTTAACCGAAAAAATCCTTGTTTTTAAAAAGAATTAATAAATTAAATAAAGACTAAACAGTGATATTATAGCGTTATCCATTATGATTACAAACTCACCTGCTTTGGAAGTTTCCCCATGATCTGTGATATCCTCAAAATTCATAGGCTCTTCATCCATTATTCCTCCTTCACTGACCACATTCTTAGGCCAATCGCATACTTTTTGATTCTTGCTATTTTCTTTCAGGTCATTGCTATCAGCAGTTTGAGTCGTGACTGAAGGCTGGACTGTAAATGTGTCATCTAAGTTGCCTCCATGTTCCATGTTATTAGGATCCTGTGGGTTGCTCTCCGTCACACTCTTATCACCAACAAATGTATTAGAGTCTTTATTGTGATCAATAACAAAGGTGTCTGAATCCCTTTTTGACGAGCCCAGGGACTTGTTGGTGTTTGCAGTCACTGTCTCCTGGCTACTTACAGTGAACGATGTTGAAATCTTTGTATCCACTGGTGGAACATTTACTTTTGAGATATCTACAATGTTACTGGCGTTTGGAGTTACTGACTCCTGGCCACTCACAATGAATGATGTTGAAATCAGATTTTCAACTGGTTGAACATTAACTTGTTGTATTGATTTGAGGTGATCAGTCATAATTAATTCTGGTGAACTGGATTGTTT